GACCGATTTCGTTAATAGTTTCATTAATTTTATCAGTCATATTACGTGATTGTCAAGTTATGACAATGCTTTATGACGATATCCTGAAACTATTAAATTTAACTAGTTATAGTGTTGATTAAGGATTAGTCAGTGCAAAAATAGGTATTGTTGCTTTAGGTGATTCAAAATCATCAGATATTTACAACGTTAAAGAATCCGAGACGCCTAATTTAATTATAAATTTCAATTCAGAAGCATTCGTTTAGTGTTCATTCTAGTAGGCTACGGAGTTTTGATTTTAAACGTTTGTTTAGCCAACAGCTACTTGGGGATTTAGTTATTTCACTAGTGCAGTTGACAGTACCTAAATTTTTAATCTTATTATCTAAACTATGTTCGCATTTTAGGCTGCTAATATGATAAACCAATCCATAAACCCAAATACGATTAGCAACAACGACTATGATGGGTTTATCGATAAATGTTATAGGCGATTCAGATGATTTCTAAATTCAAAAGATATGAAGATATAGTGTAATGTATGTACGGGCCATGTTAACATGCAGGTTGTTGACGTATATAAAAATTTAAAAATAATGAACATGACCAGGAAAAGTAATTTTAAAGTCAAGACTGCTTATGAAACTTGAGGCAGGAATGTAACGCGTTATAAACATTCCATGAGAAGTTACGACATTTAGCCTAGGGACACTTACAAATAAGTGGCAAAAGCAACTGAAAAACATATACATGTTAAGTACAAAAAAAAATCATCCAGTAAAATAGTTGAACTCGCCTGGATTATTTTTGAAAATTGGATTATTCAGTGGACGACATATATAACGCCATTCGTGAGGAGTAGTAATGATCCAAAAGCATCCAGAATAAAACATACAGTATGGCAATCACTTCCAGGGTGCTTGATGCTGTTGAGGTCTTTGGGACTCGCTCTGATCAGAACAATCGAAAGAATCCAGATAATTGTGTGTGTGCCATCTAAAATGAACTTATGATTGCAGAAAACTTATAGCTGGAACTCACCGTATGTTTTTGGAGTAGTCATCCTCGTTGTTTGGCAATGGAACTCGAGAATATGAAATTAGGCAGGCAGTGGTCGGAAGAAAAGATATTACAGGATAGTGTATAGTTTAAAACAGGATGAGGTAATAAGATAAGGAACACTGAATATTAGATCCAGATAACTATTAAGTCCTTGATCGCATTGTTAGTCAATGTATATTTACGCTATTTACAGGTCATATTTGCTAGAGCTTGATGTTTAAACAAGACTATGTCGCTGAAGCATGTAAATGCTATTACAGCTTGTTAACAAATCATCAAAGCTAATTAGTTAATATAGACGACCAGTTTTTATTATCGATTGAGCTAGTTTGTCATGAGGACTAATCAATATAACATTACGATAATGCATGTGAGCATTAATCAGAGGACTATTAGAATACAGTGTTAACATAAATATAAAATCGATCGAGAAAGTTGAAGTGGAAATAAGGATTAATAATAATAGGTTGCGTTTTTCTAGTCGGGCTTACCAATGTAGAATTATGATCTACTATGATATTAGTACTGCTCTAATAATAGACCTAATCCCAAAATTGTAGATTCGTCATGATATAACTGCCTAATCTATAAGATCTTACGTGGAAGTCACACCATCGACTACACCAACTCACTGTATCGGATCAATTACCAATACATGATGTATAAGAAGGTTAGGTTGGAGAAAGAACAATATATTTAATATGAATAGAGATATAGGATAATATACAGCAGGGACCACGCCTGCATGGCCGAGCCATGCCACTCGATCAACTCCAGTCCATTCAATTCATTGTTCGCGCCTTCTCCATTGTCAGGTATTTCTCCGCGTTAAATATTGAATATCTATTTTCTGAGTAGTCTCGTGTTCACAGCTTTGTGGATTGTGTGGCTATTGTTCAATGCCACTACAGGTTAACATAAATATAAAATCGATCGATAAAGTTGAAGTGGAAATAAGGATTAATAATAATAGGTTGCGTTTCTTTAGTTGGGCTCACCAATGTAGAATTATTATCTACTATGATATTAGTACTGCTCTAATAATAGACCTAATCCCAAAATTTGTAGATTCGTCATGATATAACTGCCTAATCTATAAGATCTTACGTGGAAGTCACACCATTGACTACACCAACTCACTGTATCGTATCAATTACCAATACCTGATGAGGAACAAGGTTAGGATAGAGAAAGAACAATATATTTAATATGAATGAGATATAGGATAACATCCAGCAGGAACCACGCCTGCATGGCCGAGCCATGCCACTCGATCAACTCCAGTCCATTCAATTCATTGTTCGCGCCTTCTCCATTGTTAGGTATTTCTCCGCGTTAAATATTGAATATCTATTTTCTGAGTAGTCTCGTGTTCACAGCTTTGTGGATTGTGTGGCTATTGTCCAATGCCACTACAGATTTTTTGAACATGTTCCAAAAAGTCTTAGAACAAGGGAAAGAAAGACTCTGAAGAGTGCAATCACCAAACATCTTGATACAGGACATACCTAACAATCCTTTAGTGTGATTAGTAGGCAGCTAAACTCCAGTCTTCTGAAGTTTGCTGGAGCCATTGCTATCAGGCGTCAAAAACCGGACCTATGTATTCAAAAGGAGGCGGTAATTAATCTTTCCTTGCCCTGGTGACAAATATTCCTTCACTGAACCTTAAAAATTTTTTCTTTTTTTCTTTTGTATTTATTACAACATTTATTTTATTTTATTTTTTTCAACTATCTTTCAAATGAACTCTACTCATTATAATCCTATCAATGTTTATCCATTATGTAATCAATGGCTTCTAACCCACTTTTGAACTGTTGTCACAATTAATGTTGTAGAATATTCTTTTACATTTGGTATATATTTACAATATTCAGTAAGCAATTTAAACCCATTATGCAATTATGCTTTTTAAATATCACAGGTTGTAAGCAGCTGACGAGAACCTACGAAATAAAATGAATTCATGCTATTTTGGTAGAATCTTTGTTCTTGTTCTTTCCAAAATGATAAGGGGAGCTATGTGTATGAAAAGAAAATGAAGACACGAAAACAGATAATTTAGTATTTTCTGACCTTCGTTTGAGCGTGTCAATCAGTAGATTACGATGCTGTAGCAGGTCTATACCAACGATTGGCATAGAAACATCTGCGACAACAAAAATACAATCAATAGTTTTCCGTCAATTCACATTCAGGTAAATATGCCGCTTACCATATGTGGTGATCAGTTTCCCATTTGCTTCCTGTCAGTTGCGAGCCGGTTTAGGCGGACAGTCGTCAGAAATTTCTGGAAGGACGTTAACTTCTGCAGCAGTGTCATCGAGACAGTGAATTTTCGCTATCACATCAGTGATGTACAACGGATGGCTAGTTTCTCTGGCCACGGTTGTTGTAAACGTGTGCCGGCCTGGAAGTTTCCCGAAGCCTTGTTAGTGCCGGTTGGTTCGGAGATTAGGAAACTGCAGGGTTTTCTACACTTCGGAGATTAACCATACCTATTGTGATGCATGCACCAATCAGGTTTGTTCGTCCCTCGTGACCTAGAGGCCAGATCGCTTCTTTGAAAAACCACTGCGAGAGGTTCGTGAGGGTCTACAATCATGGTAAATACTAAGGTAACGTGTCAGAGTATTACATAGGCCAGTAACGTCATATCGTGTCATTTGAGGCTTTTCTTTGACAGAATAAACCTCGGACCTAGGAGTTCCAGTGACCTTGAGGAGCTGGTTAGCAGATGTAGGTAATGCATCTAGAGTTATTTTGAAGTGATACAAGCGCTGCATGTTCCGGTTGGGGAAGTTTAAACAATAAGTGCTGTCTAAACGGGTCTTCGTTGAAAATCCGCTGACAAATGACCTAACGAATTTTGGCAAAATTTTACTGCTGAGCCATATTGTAGTTCTGTATCGTAGGAGAGTTGGACTTAAATTTGTCGGTCGGTTAGGTCTCCACGTTTAAGGATAGCTCCTTTCAAATATTCATAAGGATCAGGAACATCATTATTAGACATGTTAGATGTGCCGTACCTATTAAAATCGCGCGTTAGCGCTTCCACTGCTGCGAGAAACGGTGCACGTAGGTCTGTCATGAAGTGCTCATCGAAGTCAACTTCTGCGTGGCAGAACCAAGTTTCTATATTGTTGGGCCAGAATAGCGTTAACTGAATTGAGGGAGGAGAAAGAGTCTTAATGTTAAATAACTTAGGAGCCTGTTCCTCCATGATTAATATAAACTATACCAATGAACGAGAAAAAAATATTCGAAAATATGAAAACAATATAACAGTATGTAAAAATAAAAATTAAGATATGGAGTATGATGTTTCAATAAGGGACAGACACACAGTTACCGGATTAGTGTACCAAATCACGTCGGGCTCAACACTACAGATGCCACAAGCATTCGGGGTTTGGCAACGCCTTTGCACGTAACACCTTTATAATCGAAGTATGTCAACTCAGCCGAATCAGAAAGCACAACTGAAGGGGATCAATGTTATATTTAAAAGGCTATCAATATCTCGAGGATCGTTTGAACTAAGCAGACTAACGGTTGCAGGAAAAGCATAAAACGGCGTTATTTGGAGCAAATACGTGACCAGGAGCCTTTAGTTAAGTGAATCCAGTAAAACTGATGAGGTCATCATCAATATTGAACAAATAAGGAACTATTTATTTTGTGGATATTTTTAACTGCTGAACTCAGAACCTACTACCGAAAGAGTGCCCTCCTCACATTCAGCAGGAAATTAAACAATCGCAGAATCTTATCAGCGAAGATATAGCACAGACCGTCATAATCCTGTCCTAATTCGCAGATCGGAATCTACAACTAATTGGAATACTTTGACAGTTTCGATTGCGGTTAATTTGGATTTGACACACTTCGAGTTCGTAACCGCAGTTTCTGACTCTAGATTCTAATTCTTATTCTTTATATTAACTTACAATAATATCTTGACCCCAGTAAATAGGTAAGTTGCCTCAAAGTCACTTTAGCGTCGTTTGAAGGTTATCTATACATTCTAATCAAGTTAACTTCTCCAAGACTAGGTTCACTTCGAAATTATAATCCATGTTAATGCCATTTGAAGGGAACGATCTTTCACATAAACGAACTCAAATCATTGTCTTCACGCTTGGATCATTACTCAGGATTGTTTGTAGACATTTCGTAGGGACCCATGTGTTTGTGATAACATTCTTAGCTTGTTAAATTGGTAAAATATTGCTTAGTAATTGGTATAGTCTATGATCTTGCACTAGACTTACAACTATTATAATGATAGATATGTCTACTATTCTGCTGCCGCTTTAGAATGTGACAATCGCGTTTTTCAGCAGAAATGTCTCTCAACTTGACCCTATTGATCATTTGTTTCAATAAGTTTGCGTTACTACTTGTCATTTTCAGAGCAGTTTTTCTGAAGGTAATTTGTTAAAACAAAGCTACCAAAGTCTCTCAAAAATCACTTAGATTACTCTAGGTCCCCCAATGCCCTGGTATGGCCGAGAGTTGGGAGTCAACTCTTCTCAAAATACTCTCACACGACCACGCGTATACAGCCTCTGCCAGGGAAGTCCTACTCACTGCCTTCTCGTGGCGGGGATGTTGTTTACAAAAATGAGAGGACGAAAAGCGAATGTCCGGAGCTTTAACCGGATCCCAAACCAATGGTGCATATGGGCTCCAGTATCCTGAGGGAACAAATGGCGTATGAACCAATTTTCGGTCCCTGGCTACCATGGGACTGCATCTCCTTACGATGCTCCACTGCCTTGTGGGTTAGACCTTTAGGTCAAAGGCTCGGGATGTGGCCCCCTAAGATGACCACCTGCTTCGGTCTGGGCACCCGGGCAGTATTACAGCCCGCACACACAGTGTGGCGCATATATATTTGGTGCCCTCTTATACCAATATTTATGTGTTGAAATAAAATAAAAATAATAAAAGATACACTAGCACATATACTCAATTTTTATTAACTCGTTCAAGAGGTACTTGGCTACAAGCCAGACCGTGTGAGGGCTAGCAATACTAACTGGTCTCATGGACCTAAGTTGTTACTAACGCGTTCAAGCCGCCGCTTCGAAGACTGAATTTTCAGTTTTTTTACAGTTTGGAGCTACAAAGATTTCAATTCCTCGTCCTTTCGAAATTTGACCTATAAGCCTCTACTTAGAAACTTCAGTCTCCAGTAAATTTACTCTCACGAAGCCAAAAATTAGTTGTTGACGAACCACACTCTCATCAGTAGTCGTTATATAAATTATTTGTTTCAATAGCAAATGTTTATCATCGAATTGATGTTTTTGAAACCTGATATCCATGCATATGACCGAAAACAATAATTGTCACAAGTAGCTCTATGATCTCACTTAACGATTTATCGCTAAGTAACCATCATGGATCTGAATATATCGGTTTATTTGGTGTATACTCCACCAAACCATATCTCTAACAAACTACGTGTCAAATTGTATTAATTAGGTTCTCTTAGTGTTCGATTATCGTTAATTTCCATATCCTGATATTACAGCGGTTAATATAAGGCTCATTTTCTCCACAAAGCCGTTTGAGTTGCTTGTTGACAGGTCGCTTCTCATTACTCATATCTTGCAACATTTTGTCAACATACCTGATAGTTTTTATTCCAATACATGGAAGATATACAGGAGCTCAATTTATATAATTCCTGTGTTTCCAAGTTAAATTATTTTTCAAAAGGTTCATTGTTTAATTGTATTACGTTTTTAAGGAGAATCATAATGAACCAACAGATCTCAGTGCTAAACGGCTTTTTTGCCCTAATGCAACACTATGTGAATTAATATATCAATGAGATTTTTGACTGCTTAGTTAGGTACATAATGCTTTTGTTTTGTTCACTTAGCAAGGAATATGACTGACTTCATTGAAGCGGTATCCAATCCATTGGCACCTGATGTGTTTGTGGGTCATGGTGACTTTACGAATCAAAAACTATCTAATAGTGATTTTCGAAAATTGTTAATGACACCTAAGCCATCAGTACAACCTTCAAAAATTGATGAAGTACATGAAACTGGGACCCGCATTTCTACTCACCATTTGGAAAGATCCGATCGTATACGCCAAGATCCTAGTCAAACTATTCATCGTAGTAAACATAAGATAAGTCACAAGCGTCATCATGTTCGTAGCAAAAAGGATGCTCAAAAATCAGATGTTTCTGAATCAACACATCGTTATCGAGATCGTGCAAAAGAACGACGTGACGGCAAACTAGTTGCTCCAACTGAGGAAGTTGAGGAAGAACGTGAAATGGAAAATGATGATGATACTTTAACTCGTACAGCCGACTATCGTGCTGTTGCACCATCGTCTGCTGCTGGTGCTTCACATGCTGAACGTCGTCGAATGCTTATACAGGAATCTAAGTATCTTGGTGGTGATATGGAACATACTCACTTGGTCAAAGGTCTTGATTATGTTCTATTACAAAAAGTCCGTTTGGAAATACAAAATAAAGAAATTGAAGCCGAACAAGCCCTGGATATTGAATTAAACAAACCTGATAAAATGAAAGAAAGTACTAATAATGAAGAAAGCATACAATTTCGTACTCATCTAGCGGCAAGTATATGCAATGTTATTTTCAATGAACGTCTCCCAGAACGTAATGAATATTTTCAACCTGGTCGCATGGCTTATCGTATTGAACTGGAAGATGATTCAGTGGATTTTGAAGTACCAGCTACAGTGATTCGTAGCAAATCTGATTGTTTACAAATTGATGGTCGTGGAACTGGTGCAATAACTACTAACGAAATTGTTATTAATAAACTTACTCAAATCTTATCATATTTGCGGGCTGGCAAACGACATGCAAAGAAGACTAAGCTTAAAGGACGTGTTGCTGACAAATCTGAATTTGATTATGAAGACAATCGACATCTTATCCATAAAATGGCTAGTAAGTTTATTGTTATTAGTTGGTAAGGTTTTTTTTCACTACGAATGTGATCCACTGTATTACTAACTAGAGGATGTTGTTACGTTTGAGGATATTAATCATTTCTGAAACAAACGAATAATGTAAACCATTTTACCAGGCATTAATTCCAACTCAATTTTATTAAATTCAGAACAGTTTAATTCATTTACCAAGTACATTCTCCTATATTCGACCTAAAGCCATATTATATGAAGACTATTTACTCAACTTCCCGAAACAGATTAAATGGAGTGAGGTCCGAATTTGTGACCAGCTATGTGAATTAATCAGAACTAAACCACCACTCCAGTTGGTAACCACTAAGCTAAATAATTTGCAAATACTTTCTTGGGTGACTGATGACACTCGATAGAAAAACGTTGTGGTTATGGACAATTATTTGACAAGTATGTATCAAACCTACAATAATATCATGCTTTCATTATCCTGCTTTACGGTTAAAGGTGGTAATTGTGATCTGAAGTTTTGACTGATTCTCTGTAGTTGATTGTGTTAGTGAATTAATCATCAACGGCAGATTACTACAGTAGTCGGATCACAGTTACTGACTTAACTTTATCAATCAGGTTACTTACTTCAAACCTGAGCATATGAATGTTATGGGTTCGAACCCCATCCCGCCTCACCACTAACATTCACATCTAAAATATATCTCAAAGACAAGTGCGTGAATATGTACCTCGTAAATGACTCACTTAATATTCTCCTTGTTTGTGTATCGTGTAGTCTTCGTGACTATTAGAGACCCATTGGAATTTACCGTGTTTTTTTTAAATTTAAATTTTCTTAGGTAATGTCTATACAATTGAATGGCTTAGATTTCTATAACTCGTTGATAGCTTATAACGAGCTTTTGCAATCAATTTTGAGTCATACACTTTTTGGTTGCTCAAACTAAATTAGCTGGAAATCTAGCGTGCAACCTAATAAGAAAGTGTTTACTGATTCACCCACCCAGACTGCTGCTTCCATATTACCCATATCAACCAGCTCTTCGTTCCCTCTCTTTAAACTCGATTTGTGTATACAGGTACACACTACTAATGAATTTGACCGTGAGTGACATCTACACTAAGCGTTTCATATATGAATCCGCTTGTTCTTGGCTAAGATGTTTCTTATAAAGTCACCGTTTTTAATAGTTCAAATGTTATAAAAAAACAACTAAAGAACAGTTAAAAGGTAATTAAAGCGAAGAAATATCTTTATAGTTATTTTTCCACCCAGACTGCTAATAAGTATGTTTTGCAATAATGATAAAAAAGACCAATTAAGTAGTAGCGATACATTTTAGCTAGAGATGGATGGTAGCTAGCAGCGGAATTCAGGACGAGCATTTCGTCATATTCTGGGACTCGTCAGCTGAATGTACTTGTATCACAGAGTCAATGTTCACTTCAGGAGTGGAACCCAGTACCGTTCGCTTCAAACACCATCGCGTTATCCACTTAACTACGGAGTCCAGATACCCAGATAAGTAGTTTAAACCAAACAGAAAGACATTTAGGTGGGTATTTTAGTATACCGGTACAGCGAACAGATAATGGTGATCGTCTGCTGCAACTATGCTCAGACAATCGTTTATTTTTAGCAAACAAATTTTAAGCATAAGGAAAGACATCGTCTAACATGGCGACCCCCTACACCAAACCAACGATGGACTCAAATAGACCATATTGCCATCAGTCATAGTTGGAGAGGGTCGGTAGAAGATTGTCACTCATTCTGGAGTGCCTGCTTGGACTCCGACCATGCTTTATTACGAGCACGCATCTGCTTGCGCCTCACTGTACGCAAAAAAGGAACACTAAAAAGACCAATTAAAACTGAGTTGAGTAACGAGAAAACCAAAAGTAGGTTCCAGGAACAACTGAGGTCACACTTAGGTAGTTCTGAAAACGAGGCTTACCCAGATGTTGCTTGGAAAGATATACAAACAGCTGTGGAAACAGCAATGAAGTCTATTAGTGACTTAAACTACAGAGTTACAAAGAACCAGTGGATTTCTTCAAAGTCTATCACACTGATGGATTCTCGAAAACTCGTCCCATCAGGTACCGAACATGATGAAGAGCGACAACAAATCAGATCTAGGTTAAGAAAAAGTCTAAGAAACGACCGTGAGCAGTGGTGGGGAACGAAAGCACAAGAGATGGAAAAGGCGGCGACTATAGGGAACACAAGACAGCTTTATAGACTAATAAAAGAAACTGGAACTAATAAGTCAAGTGTAAGTGAGATTATTTCGAAAAAAACAATACTGTCATCTACTCCCAGTCCATATGTTTAGAACGATGGGCGGAACACTTTAGGGAACAGTTCAGCTGGCCTTCAGCTACTCTACAACTACCCTCCATTCCCAGACAGTGTGAATGAAACATTGAAGTAGGTTCCCCAACTCTTGCTGAAGTCGAGAAAGCTATAGTTAGTCTGAGACGAGAAAGGGCAGCTGGTCCAGATGGATTGGCTCCAGAAGTCTTTAAGGATGGTGGTCCAATTTTAGCGACTAGGTTGACTAATATTTTAGCTAAGATCTGGGAGTTAGACGTTGTTCTATCTGACTGGTCTCAATCACTTATCGTCCCAACATATAAGAAAGGGTCAAAATCATCTTGTGACAACCACATATCGTCGAAGAACCTCTCGTTTATTTTGTGACCCGAGAAAGCATTGCCGAGGTTAGGGATAAAGTACTGGGTAACAATTGCAAACCTGTTGATGATATGGTAAATCTTCATCAACTGAGGTAGTTGGAACATGTGTTACGTATGTCCAGCCACTTCCCACCTCATCAGGTGATGTTGTCAGGTGTAGTAGGCTGAAACAAAGTTAGGGGCGACTGAACCAAGACATGAAACCAGTCCATAACTTACTTAATTACTTACGCCTGTTACTCCTCGTGAAGGAGCATTGGCCGCTCACCAGCATTCTCCATACAACCCTGTCCTGGGCAATCCTTTCTAGCTCCGTCCAGTTGTAATTCATCGTTTTCATATCTGCTTCCATTATCCGACGCAATGTGTTCTTTGGCCTTCCTCTTTTCTGCTTCCCTTCAGGATTCCAAGTTAGGGCTTGCCTCGTGATGCAGTTTGACGATTTGCGTAATGTATGTCCTATCCATTTCCATCGTCTTTTCCTAATTTCTTCTTCAGTTGGAAGTTGGTTTGTTCTCTCCCACAGAAGGCTATTGCTGATGGTATCCGGTCAATGGATGTTGAGTATCTTGCGTAGACAGCTATTTATAAATACTTGTACTTTCTTGATTGTGGTTGTTGTAGTTCTCCAAGTTTCAGCTCCATACAGTAGAACTGCCTTGACGTTCGTATTGAAGATTCTCACTTTGATATTGGTTGAAAGTTGTTTTGAGTCCCATATGTTCTTCAATTGTAGGAATGCGACCCTTGCTTTGCCGATCCTCGCCTTTACGTCTGCATCGAATCCTCCTTGTTCATCGATGATGCTTCCCAGGTATGTGAAGGACTCTACATCTTCCAGAGTTTCGCCATCAAGAGTGATTGGATTGCTGTTCTCCGCTTTGAATTTGAGGACCTTAGTTTTCCCTTTGTGTATGCTGAGGCCTACTGATGCAGAGACTGCTGCTACACTGGCTGTCTTCATCTGCATCTGTTCATGTGTACGTGATAGGAGGGCTAGGTCATCTGCGAAGTCCAAATCGTCTAATTGATTCTGAGCTGTCCATTGTATTCCGTGTTTTCCTTCAGATGTCGAGGTCTTCATAATCCAGTCGACCACCAGAAGAAAGAGGAAGGGAGAGAATAGACAGCCTTGTCTGACTCCGGTCCTTACTTGGAATGCATCTGTCAGCTGTCCTCCATGCACGACCTTGCACTGTAGTCCGTCGTATGAGTTCCGGATAATATTGACAATCGTCTCAGGAACTCCGTAGTGTCGAAGAAGTTTCCATAATGTCCTCCTATCTACACTGTCGAATGCCTTTTCATAATCCATGAAGTTGATGTATAGTGACGAGTTCCACTCAACTGATTGTTCGACGATGATCCGTAGTGTTGCAATTTGGTCTGTGCACGACCGATCCTTAAGGAATACAGCTTGTTGATCTCGAAGTTGGGCGTCTACTGTGTCTTTCATCCGGTTCGGCAAAAATCTGTTGAAGACTTTCCCTGGTATTGACAGTAGTGTAATGCCTCTGTAGTTTCCACATTTGCTCAGATCTCCTTTCTTTGGAATCTTGACGAGGTATCCTTCTTTCCAGTCGGTCGGCACTTGTTACTCCTCCCAAATCTTTTTGAATAGAAGCTAAAGCATGCTTGTGGTTGCTTCGATGTCTGGTTTCAGTGCTTCAGCTGGTATGTTGTCGGGTCCTGCTGCTTTCCCGTTCTTGATTTGTCTGACGGCCATTCTGATTTCTTCCGTCGTTGGTGGGTTGACATCTATAGGAAGATCTGTGTATGCTGCTTCGATGTCCGGTGGATTCATTGGAGCCGGCCTATTCAGGAGTTCCTCGAAGTATTCTACCCATCTGTTACGCTGTTGTTGAATTTCGGTGATTAGCTTGCCTTCTTTGTCTTTGACCGGCCTCTCTGGTTTACTGTATTTCCCTGCTAGTTTCTTCGTTGTATCGTGAAGCTGTCTCATATTTCCTTCTCTAGCAGCTTTTTCTGCCGTCGTTGCTAGTTCTTCCACGTATTTCTTCTTGTCGGCTCTAATGCTCCTCTTCACTTACTTGTTTGCTTCTATGTATTCAGCTTGTGCTTGGAATTTCTCTGCTCGTGTACGGCTGTTGTTTATTGCTGCCTTCTTGTTCTTCCTTTCTTTGATCTTGTCCAGTGTTTCTATAGAGATCCATTCCTTATGATGGTATTTCTTTAGACCGAGAACCTCTTGACACGTTGAAGTTAATGCTTCCTTGATGCCTTTCCAGTTGTCCCCCATAATAGTTTCTTCTTTCAGTAGATCTCGTAAGGCTTGGAACCTGTTGTTGAGAGCTATCTTGAATTCATTGAGTTTGACAGTATCTCGAAGGAAGGCTGTATTGAACCTTTGTATTGCTGTTTGTCCACTTGTCCAGTTCTTTTTTAGCTTCAGTTTTAAATTGGCTACAACTAGGTGGTGATCTGAAGCTACGTCAGCACCTCTCCTGGTTCTCACATCTTCCATTGTCCTTCGGAATTTTTTGTTGATGCAAATATGATCTATTTGGTTCTCTGTAGTGTGATCCGGTGAGATCCATGTAGCCTTGTGTATACGCTTGTGTAGAAATATTGTGCCTCCTATGACTAATTTGTTGAATGGATATAGATTTGCAAATCTTTCTCCATTTTCGTTTCTTTCTCCCAGTCCATGTCGTCCCATAATATCTTCATATCCAGTGTTATCTATTCCGACTTTGGCATTTAGATCTCCCATCAGAATAGTTAGGTCCTTTCTTGGGCATTTCTCAATTATTGACTGCAGCCGCTCGTAGAATTGATCTTTAATGTCGTTGTTGCTATCATTGGTGGGTACATAACATTGGATAATATTCATTAAGATCCCCTACTTCTTTGTTTTGAATGATGCTTTGATGATTCTGGATCCGTGAGATTCCCATCCTACAAGTGCATTTCGTGCTACTTTGCACAGCATAAGAGCGACCCCCTGAGTGTGTGGAGCATTGTCCTCTTCGTAACCGGAGTATAGCAGCATCTCTCCCGTAGCTAGCCTTTTCTGTCCAGCTTGGGTCCAGTGGGTTTCGCTGATTCCCAGTACTGCTAAGTTGTATCTCCTCATTTCCATTGCTATTTGACTGGTCTTCCCGGTTTCCCACATTGTTCTAACGTTCCATGTACCTATAAAAAATTTTGCTCTGGTTGTTAGAAGGGGCATCGGCCTCGTGGCTTCCGAAGGAACTCGGCTTTCACCATGAAGCGTCATAATTCTTCTAAATGAAGACCTTCTAACTCCCAGGGCAGAGTTAAAATGGTTTGGATTATTTTTTCTGGTAAGCGTTTTTTTAGCGAGTTAGTTTTCTACGGGATGGGGACGCTAACTCCATGCCCCAACCCTCCTCCTTTACCCGGGCTTGGGACCGGTAGTAACCCTATAAGAGCTACAGGCGGAGTTCAGTCCATAACATCTCGGAAAATTTAACTGAGCCACGCAGATAGCTGTAGACTACTATAATGATAATAATTATTATTATTACCAAAAAATCAAAGGAAAAATAATATATTGTGTCGGTGTATTTGTGTGTTGTGTTGAATTTACCTGATGCGCATATATATTCTATGTTGGTTACCGTGCACATTATTGACTGAGATTCTTTAATACGAAATATGAATGTTAGCGAATTATCTTGATAGGAAGTAATTTAATAACAGCTACACAATAATTTTTAGACGAATATAAAATTTATGTAAGAACACAGAAATTGGAGGAATTCAAAAGTTTTTTGGAGATATTTTTACACAAATTGTGGTGAAATCAGTGTGTTGTTTTAATTCACTCTAGTTTTTTGCCATGAATTGTACAATTTACCACGATAAAGCAATTCCAGTCATTCAAAGTAAGATATATGATCAATAATTTTAAAAGAAGTATCCATTTTCTTAATACCGAAGAAATACATTCAAAGGTAAACTTAATACACCGTCTAATCTACCGTCAAAATGCATAACAAAAACCCGTCAAGTATGTTTGGTAAATATGAAGCAACGATCATTTAGTAGTCATGGTACTCTGGTTCCAGTCAGTTACACATCATCATTCCGAACTACGCTCCGTGCACTTCGGTCCGACCAAATAATGGATAGTATCCACGCAAAAGCTGCGACTAGTGGTTCAGTACTTGGGATGATATAGGTCAGAATTGCTCACAGTAACGCAGGTGTATTCACTCGTCTCCTTTTACATGTTAAGTTTCCTAATTATCTCTTTAAAAGATCATTCAACGAATCGATATTTTCTCTTGAATCTTGTCTTCTATTCCTAATCTTTTCCACTACCATTGTTGCTGCTACTAATTGTAGTAATCTGGTATCTCTATTCTGATATAGTGCAGCAACTTGAACTGATGCATATATATACCCAGTTCTGCGTTGCGTATGATTGACTGGGTAGCAATAGCAAACCTTACATAAAATAGTCTGTGGCTAGCAAAACGAAGTTCATGAACTTGTATATCACAAATATGAGTACTAATCATTACTAGTATATTATCATAAGAGGACGAAAATTATCGGAACTATGCTGTAAGTTGGCACAATACATTTCGGACAATGTGACCACACATATACTTGTTATGAACAATTATACATGAAAATAAATAGTCAACTAGACAACTGGATAATCTTCGCCTTATTACACCATCTAAGTTTATCAAATGGACTAATTCCTGTTAATTTGAAATATTTTTATTTGGAGTCAATTACAATCAAATTACATTTACCCAATTAATCTATAGATCAGATATTTAATTGCATCGTTTTCCTGTCTTTTAATATAAACTGACACGAAAGTTTAGTAATGCAATTGTTGAAATTCACTTTAATCACGTTGTTCCAAAGCATTATATATCATTAGTATAAAGGGATTGTGGAGATTGTTAATTTCATAGTTTGCATTATAGCACCTGTCCTACAATTGGGTTTGTTTACGGGTAATTTTATCTACTACTTCAATTAATTAATTCAACAGACAGTGTTATTCGAACGGTAACAATTTGTCAATTCCTTTTTATTATTATTATCATGTCTGTATAAACATGTATGTTTGATTACGTATAACGGCCTACGCGCATAGTCTTCACTACACCTTAAATAGTAGTTGCTTAAAAGTCGCTCGATGAATCACTTGATTTCCCACATATATATGTGCTTGAATCTTATTAATTGATTCACTTCGTTTCGATTTGACTCGGAATCCGCCTATGTATTCACTTGTTTGTGCGCACCAGCCTTTCTGCTCAAATTCACTTTGTTTGCATTATGATCTGTGCTATCCAATAATAAACTGTAGTCGGCGCTTCGTGTTGCCTTCTGAATTTGTACACTATCGGGATATACTTAATAAAGTTTATCAGGGTGATTGATAAACTAGGCTTGATGAATTATTTCTAAGCCAATCCACTACGATATTACGGACTGAGCATAGCTAAATGATCATAGACCAAGTGGCACTGAATATCTGTTTCGGCCTAGTATGAAACATGTAATGTACATTCGCGACCCCATCAGTGATTGAGCTTTAAGACCTTCAGGTCTCGCCCAAACCACTGAGCCGGCAACCAATTCGGGATATTAGGCGGTGTATAACTATCACTCACATCCGACATAGTTGTGCTCCACTGTTATCGGCTTCTGAGTTCGATTCTCAGTGGGGTCATTAACGCACACTAATCGGGAGTGCCACACCTTGTCCTTTGTCTCCTGGTTTTCAATGGCTGTTCAACTAATATCAACCCATCATTTAGACTCTGACGGTTATATATTAACTAATCGAAGTTTTTTGTGTACCATATTTTTACATCTCTTCTTGTTCATCATGATGACCTATATTTTTGTTTACTTTGTTTTTTTTCACACATTTACATATGTCAATCAGCTTTGTTCTAACTAACTAATAATTATGTATAGTCATTTTGGCAAAACTTTCGGTAAATCTATATATAATAGTTATGACTGAGTGAACCAATCTGATATAATATAGCCCCTCCCGGATTCGTGCCCGCAATTCAAAGCTCATTAAAAGATGATAACACGTGTCTTATTAAAAACTAAATGGAAATTATATTTGCCTAGTTCCTAAAAGTTCGATTGATAAAATGTCATTTGTACAGCGGCACTTTGTGTTTATGTGAAATGGTATGTAAATCAAACTTCGACAAACACCTGTTTCATAGCGTGGTCAATAGTGTTTTTATGGATACAAATTATCCTAACTTTCGTAACTGATATCTCTATCCAAACTCCTAATATACAAACCTAACCCTCTTTCGTCTCGTTTACTGTGATAAATAATCCAATATGTAAACGTTTGTGAAGATGTTTGATTTCCAAGATTTTATACTATTATGTACTCTCCCTATACGCTAGTTCAACCTGCTATTCGAGCAAAAAACTGATATAGGGATTTTATTGACTAAGTAAGTCGTGCTGTATTCGTGCTCATATATAAAAAGTCAATGACAGTGTAGGTCCCATTACTAGAGTATATAATCTATTTCTTGGCCAATCCTGTGCATTTATCATTTGACCGATTTTTGATTGACCCAATGTATTAACGTTCATTAATCATGTGGAAACTTCACTTGTTGAGATTTATTATTTTTTGTTACATATCTTTATATAACCTAACATTGTTTCATGATTGACCGATAAGTCACTAAGGGTTGTCAGTGTTGTAGTTTACTTTTGTCACACTTTTCTACACGTAAAATGTATATCTTTTTGTTACCTAATTGGACTTATCTTTCTTACTTGATAACAGATACTGCTATATTTGAAGGTATCGGAAACGATTACTTACCGACAACAAAGAAGCAATGCAAAAGTAACGATAGGATGGATTTACCATATGAGGATTCTAGAGTGTCGAATTCACGTAATCGTCTACCCGCTTCTAATACTACTACATCTGGTAGTAATAGTAACACCAATGCTGAATCAAATAGTGCACAAGCATCATACTTCGATATTCCCGCCAATGCTGATTCAGTCACAAATAATTCGATAAGTGCTACTAAAGAATTTTTAAATGAATTAAGTCAACGTTTTGATGTTAAAGATGAAAATAGGTTACAGGAAAAAGTAGGTTATATGCATATATGTATTTATTTATAAATGAGTAAATAAATCTTACGTAGGACTCAAGTAAATTAGACTGGGCAGTCGATTTCATTAATTTATTTAAACATATAAACATTGGTACAAGGAGGCACTAAATATATATATGCCACGCAAATCATTTGATTTGCGTGAGGGCCAGGATACTGTCCGGGCGCCAAAACCGAAGCAGATGGTTTTCTTAGGGGTCCAACCCCCTAGTACTGGTATGCACAATGTTAACTAATCAGATTGTATACCTATTCATCGTTCCAACCAGAGATTATATGATGTGGTGATTAATTCTTGGCAAGGAATGTATTCACTTGAATAACTAGTTTCAAATCGGTTGATGAAAAGAAGGAAAGTTTACGGCGATATTTTAACTTCTCATAAAGCTCTGTGATAAGCATAATGATTAGGGCATCACTAAAATATTCACCACCAAGAATATTTTGCTTACAAATAGAACCCGGAAATACTAGATGATAATTTCATCCTAGTGTAGGAATCTTCAGCAGTTCGCATCTGAAAATCGAACCCATGACCTCAGCCTCGCACGTGAACGCTAAACTCATAGATCATTGATCTTGCATCCTGCGGTATTAGCATTTAATTCTAATGAATTTATGATATTGCGTAACCTTCATTAATCGTTTGTGATGGATTACTGGCTAAGTAATAACATCGGTAAAATTCACTCGACACATAATCCAGTACGTGTTGATCAATTAGGGTCCTTAACGGGGTCAGTCAGCTACAACGTAGGACCAAGCACATATATGCATCGGTCCAAGTTGCCATACCGCATTAGCACAGCAAGATGAACACTAGATTCATAGACGTAGTTACTTCAATCGGGGTAATATACAGAAGAAAGAACGGGGTAAACACAAACTATTAGGGACTACAGTCAAAACAGCAATATTAGAAAATAATTAAAGTGTTTATCAACATGTTCAGACCTTACCATCATTGTTATCTTCTTATAACATCTCATATCAATAAGGAATGACACAATCACTAAGTTTATTTGAAGTTAACAATTCATGTTAGTCATCGCCAAATTAAATTCCGCCTGTAGCTCTTCTAAAGTTAATGACGGTCACAAGCCCGAGTAAAGGAGGAGGGTTGGGCATGAGGTCGGAAACCCCATCCGGTAGAAAAATATCTGGCTAAAAAACACCAACCAGATTCAACAAATTAAACCATTTAAACTCTACCCTGGGAGTCGAAGGAAGAATTATGACGCCTCAGAATGAAAGATGAGGTTCTTCGGAAGTCACGAGGCCGATATCCCTTCTAACAATCAGATCAATAATAATTATCGGACGCCTAACAAAGACTCGTGAACTGCAAACACGAGAGAATCAAGCTGGCTTCAGACCTGGTCGTGGCTGCATCGACCACATATTCACCATTCGTCAGGTTCAAGAACACAGGCATACTTATCGGCGTCCGACAATGGTGGTCTTTCTTGACTTAAAAGCAGCATTTGACTCGGTAGACCGCGAGATTCTGTGGCAGTGTCTGTCAAAGTGTGGTGTTTGTCAAGGCTGTCCACTTTCTCCATTTCTGTTTAACTTCATCATAGACCTACTAATGGAAATAATGCTCTCGTCGACTGAATTCTCGGGTATTGATATCCTTCCAGGAGGTCCACTTATCGACTTAGTATATACAGATAACATATTCCTGTTCGGTGAAGACGCTGATAAAATGCAAAGTCGTTTGGTAGGACTGAGGAACAATGCAAGAATATTTGGGATGCACTTCTCTCCCTCTAAATGCAAGTTGTTGCTTCAGGACTGGCCTGCGTCAACACCTGAACTAAAGCAAGGGAATGAAGTAGTCGAATACGTTGACAACTTCACTTGTCTTGGAAGTCTGATCAGCCCTAATAGGTTCGAGACTGACTAAAACCTCTGTACGGATTCAGAAAGCTCGTTTGGCTTTTGCCAACTTACATAACCTATGGCGAAAGCGAGATATCCGTCTATCAACTAAAGGACGAGTATACTGCGCGGCAGTTCGTCCTGTTTTAATTTACGGCAGCGAAACATGGCCATTAAGGATAGAACACACTCGTAAGCTACTAGTATTTGATCACGGATGCCTTAGAAATATTGCTTGCATCTGCGGGGATCACTGGGTAAGTAATAGTGAGGTTAGACGTAGGGTATTAGGGAATGATGGTAAACCAGTTGATGAAATTGTGAATTTTCATCGACTGAGATGGTTGGTCCGCGTGTCACATATGCCTGAACACCGATTAGCACGATGTGCAATGCTAACGGGTGTTAGAGATGGTTGGAAGAGAATTAGGGGCAGCCAAACCAAAACGTGGCATCAGTGCTTGAAGACACTAACCTCTAGTCTGAGCCATGTTGGTAGATGCAGACTACTTGGTTGGGGTCCGCGTGACTTTCGTAACCGATGGTTGGAGACTCTTGGTGACATGGCTCAGAACCGATCACAATTGCGTCTCTAGTTAAAGCGTGAGATTAAAATTAATTTATACCTTTCTGCGAACTAATTCTTTCTTACTGTATTATATCCTTACACACAATGTTTCTTTTATATATTACTACAATTGAAGTAACTACCTCTATGAATTTGGTGTCCGTCTTGTTGTGCTAATGAGGTGTGGCGACTTGGACAGATGTGTATATGTGCCTAGTCCTACGTTGCAGCTGACTGACGTGCCTTAAACCTAACTAATTTTTTGGAGTATTAATTTAGATATGTAATTGTAGAACCCGAAGAAGGCTCATGGAAAAGAAAGTTCCTCGCTCGTATATCTACGTTTGAAGTTGTTTTGTTAAATAATTTAAATTGTTTTGTCTTACCATAAACCATATTATGTAGTTCCACCTATAAGTTTCTTGTAACTATCAACCTTCTCAACAAACGTTTTACGGTAAATTCAGTTTATTTCGAACCTAAGAGGATGTATGCTTCACTTGAGGGTTATATATATTAGTGTGGCGAATTTGAGGGGATTGTTAAGTTTTCAAAGTTTAAATCACGAACTGGTCTTAGCTAAACCATAATTGAAACTTGAAAGCACTGGATAGCTGTTTCAGCCGGTTATGGGACTCAGCGGTGCATATTCACGGGTTATCCGCCAGTCCGATCCTATGACCTTCGGTTTCTCGTGTGAAGCTTTGTATATATATACAACACCTATCATTTAAGAAATCGGTAAAACGGCATTTCGGGATAGTTAAAATCTGCGTGTGTAACGAAGATGATCAGTTGTGAACCATGTAAGCTAACTTATGAGTGTTATTTATTTTCATGTTATTAGTATTAACGACCACAGCTGGTCAGTTTCTACGTGGGATGTGTGCATCCTGAGCAGATTGGACCGATAATGCTATTTAGTCGCAAGTTCTTATTATGGTTGAACAGTAGCTAGTAATGGAGTCCGCGACGAGCGTTTCGTTCTATTCAGGACGAAGGTGATGTAAGAAAGAAGATGTTAATCAACAAACATAATGAATCTGTACTGTCTGGAAGCCACAACTCATGATTGCACAATTATGTCCTTTTTTCATAAATTTATTTTTAGGCAAGTCTTGAACGATTCTTTGCTAAAACTCAAGTCACGTGTTACGATGAATGTTATCCCGGTTTCGCTGAATCATACGATGCTATGGGTGATTCTGATGATGAAGCTGATTTTAGCAAAATGGATTTAGGTAATAAAAAAGGTCCAGTTGGTCGATGGGACTTTGAAACACAGGAAGAATATAGTGATTATATGTCGAATAAAGAAGCTTTACCAAAAGCTGCATTTCAATATGGTGTTAAAATGGCTGATGGTCGTCGTACACGTCGTATTGGACCAAAAGATGAAAAAGCTGAATTAGATCGTCAATTACAAAAAATACAATCAATCATACAAAAGCGTAAACAATTAGCTGAAGATAGTGGTCCAGTAGGAAAAAATGTCCGATTTTAAAAATTGCTATAATATACATGTACATTTATTTAGCCTTTGGTTTTTAATTTGATTCTACATGAAATAACTTTTACATTCAGATATTTAGTTTATTTTTGCTTTTCGTCCGATTTTTTGTGAGATGTTTTAATCATTTAAATTAGATTATCGTCAAAATGAATTGGAAATAGTGCGTGAAAGTGATTACTCACTTCCTTTTTGTCAAATATATAGTTCTACTTATTTTCAATTTTTTATTAGATCTCTCAGTTCTCAAGGGTCGATGCGCTCATTCACTTTTTCAATCATACGTAGACGAAATGTTCCAAACTTAGGTTTTGCACTCATCAACAAGAAGTATTTACATTCTTGATATAACTGGGAATTATTGAACCTTGTCACCAATAAGCTAGTCTTTCCACAACTAGTAGGAATGAAATATTTACACTAATTGGCAAGAATTATTATCTTACATATATATTGAATAATGGCTAGCAGTGGAATTCAGTTCGAAGCGCGTTTCGTCCTGTTTGGGACTCGTCAGCCGGATGTATCTGCATCCCAGTACCATTCGCTCCAAACGCTATCACGTTATCCACTTAGCTACTGAGTCCCAGTAGTCACTTGTTTGTGCAATGGGGTGAATTTCAATTCACTTGGTATTGTTTTGCTTGAATCTTCCCATTGAGGTTTAAGACTGCAATTGACCAGTCTGTTATTGGCATATGTGCATACTGTGCGTATTGTCTCGATATTGCCTTGATTCACAAGCTTTATAAGCAATGATGGATAGTGGCTAGCAGTGGAATTCAGGACGCTAGCCACTATTCATACCCTTAATAATAACTAAATCTTTTGATCGAAACTGTTGTAAGGAATCTGTGAGGTGCGAGTTCCAGGACGTAATAACCAATGAAACTACGTGAACGTTATTCAAAAATATAATTATAACTAGGGAGAACTAAAATCTCTAGGCTTTCACGCATTATGGTTATCTTAAACGGATTATTTGCTTCGCTATAAACAGATTTTTGGAGTAAGGACAATATTGAAGGTAGATAAATCTCGACAAATTGCGGCTGACAACTGGAACTTTTGTGAGATGTTTTTTGTCCCAAGAATGTTTGTGCACGTTCTTAGATGAAGCCATAATATACCGGTTAGTATCATACCACAAGCAGAAAATGACTTGGCAGCAGGTGGAATTTATTCTATAGAGAAGTGAGCATAATAACAGCGAGTTGATCTTTCACTCTTCCAATATATCTATCCGGCTTCCTTTTATGGAATTATTTCCATTTTGTGGATTTAAATAAAGCCAAAACAAACATTGATGTTAGATAATATGAATTCATTATATTTCGTGATGTTCATCAGCTACTTGCAAACATATTTATAAACTTCGCTGGTCACTAACAAAGTCTGTTCTGCTTCTTGCCCTTCCGCTTTCCCTCTTTTTCATCACCCCTGTGGTATACCACCGGAAATATACATAGAACATATGACTTCGTCCTGCGACGTCGCTAATATTTCCGAAATTTATTTGGGAACACTATCATAAAGCACAAAATGACACGTTAAAGTTGACGTCTTTAAATGATTGGTTATGCATTTAATGCATCATTTATTATGAACGACTTTTGACTAATTGCATTCGTCCTCGACCACTGATTGCTTGCCGCAACATGTAAATAGCAATTCGATCAGTTTGCTAGAATAACCGTCAAAGTAACTTCCCCAATCAAATGCGTATGCATTCCCAGCTCACTAAGCTTCCAACTAACTCCGACTGCCCGATTAAAAACACTGAGCCAATAAGTCGATAAGTCAATAATTTCGGATCAAAGGTAGTTTTTTATCTTACCATTTTGCTATTTGCACACTTCTCTCCTTTCCTATAAGCGTTGTCCTCAAGCGCTTCCAATAACTTCCACAGAAACATTTTGTTTTTGAAATATTAGAGAATGAGAATCTGAAAGAAGTATGGAATATTTCGACGGGTACAGAACAAGAATCTAAAAGGAACGCCGAAATGAACAGACGTCTCGTAACACAAAACGTTAAAGATGCCTTCACACGTAACACCTTTATAATAGGAGTATAATAATCCAGTCGAATCAGAACTGAAGGGGCTCGAAGATATATTTGAAAGACTATCGATGTGTGGAGAAGCTTTTGCTGTAGTGTGGCTGACAGTTGGAAGGGATGTGTCATATTGCGTACCCACTGGTGGTCTGGTGCAGATGCATGATCGCGTGGAGATAGTAACAACAAAATTATTTTGTGGTTAGTTCTTTATATTATTTGCATTTCCTGTGTTAATTCTCACGATTCGTAGATTTACTACAAGTGATTGCAAAAGTTATTGAAAATTGCATGGCCTTGAATACTTCCTCTTCCTTTTTAAATACCACAGAACATGGCACACTGGTAACGGTTCATAAATACACTGCTACACTCACGCTCCTCTTTCCCAATTACCTATTGTTACAACAACTTAACCCTAAAATATCTATTATCTTCATTTATAGACCACAACCATATTTCCATTATATACTCCATTCGGATATACGCTCGAATTATAACAATATTCATTGGGATCATTGATTACCTATAATTGCAGATTTTTATATCAAATGCATCTCGAACACTCCAAGGCCTGACAATTTAAGTAACGTCCTCTAAAGTTTTCGTGTGTTTATGAATTATACTTAATATATTAGTACATTAATTTTTGGGGACAATAACTTTATTATCATCTTTTGAGTTAATACAATATTTGATCCACCACAATAATCTGGTGAACCCGACGTTTTTTCTGTTTGTCACATAGTTTATTTTTACCTGAATCTCAAGTTTATTTTTCAAATGATGTAATTTTCTAATGACCTTTGTGATACTGTGGGTACCCATTTAAATACTCATGTAGCGGTAAATAAATCCCCAAAATAAATAGCTCTGTAAGTTTTCAACATTGGATGCTGACTATATGTTTTAGTGGACTCATCTAGCTGAAGGTGCTCGGTCATGCATCCGCACCAGATCACGTGTGGTAACGCTGTGCTCAACACCTACCGCAATCGCTAGCCAGATTAGATCAGAGAATTCCGATATATTAGTTATCGCCAAATACACTCTTCCGATCTCATCGACTCTGTCTTTTGATTTCTCTTGGTGGGTACGAATTATATTATAAGGTGTTGCTGGTAAAAGCGTTGCCAAACATTGAATACCTGTGCCATCTTCATTGGTGAGGCCGACGTGATCTGGTCCACCTAATTGCAACTGTGAGTCTGTTCCTTTTTGGGATTTTTATATATTATTGCCTTATTTTTTATTTTTTATACATAGTGATATTTTTCCCCGTGTCTCAGGATATCTATATATTTTTCCCTCGTATTCTCCTACTTAATATTCCCCTATGATCGAACAGACTCCTAAGGTATTTAAGATTACGACCATGTCCCCACCCTCGTTCCAACTCATGCCCTTCTGGCCCGACAATATCGAAGCCTGGTTCTGCTACTCAGAAGCCGACTTCCATGAGCACGGCGTGAACGATATACGTGCACAATTCCACGCAGTAGTCAAGGCACTACCGCGGGAATTCAACAGGTACTTTTTTACTTTATGTAAATGAATTGCCAACCGTAGCAAAATCATCCGTTCTACTCTTCGCCGATGACATAAAGATTTGGAGACCCATACATAGTATGTCGGATAGAATAGTATTACAGGACGATCTTAGCTCATTGGTGGCATGGTTAGACAGGTGGTCACTAGAAGTAAATCCTAATAAGAGTGCAGTAATGCAGCTAAAAAAACTCTGATGAATCGTATGACTATACACTACGTGGATTGCTGCTACCCAAAGCAAGAAACTATAAAGATTTAGAAGTCATATTAAGCAATGATCTCAAAACCACTAGTCACTGTAAGGCTGATGCTGCAAAAGGCTATAGGGTATTATGGTCAATTCGTAGGTCTTTCCAGTATTTAGATGATGAAATGTTTAGACTACTATACCCGATTTATGTGCAACCACATTTAAAATACGGGATTCAAGCAGCGTGTCCTTGTTTCAAGTATGAAGCAGATATACTAGAAGGAGTGCAACGACGAGCTACTAAGATGGTACAAGGTCTATCTGGACTATCTTATGAAGACAGACTGAAACACCTTAACTTATTTCCGCTATCTTACCGTAGAATACGGGGTGATCTAATATTGGCCTATCGTATACTTGTGGTGCGTGCTACTTATATTGATATAAGTAGTATATAACGTGAGTTAAAAGAACGTAATGTCTGGCAGCAGAAGATGGAGAAGATCAAGAAAGGAAGAGCGAGAACACAATGGAATTTGTAAGAAATCGCATGAACAATGAAATGTGAGAGAATGGATTGAGGTTTGCAACAGCAACAGTCCGGTTTGATATGATGGAATGATATTTTGCAGATTAATGATTTACTATATGGTTTTTCTATTTTACCAAGTAATTCTGTAATTTGTGCTAAATACAATTTGGTTGTCCTCACCCGTGTTCTCCTTCACAACATACTGAACGATGACCTTGGTATTAACATGTCTTATCTTTTGCTTCCGTCTAGAACCGATCATTTGAGAGGACATTCGAAGAAAGTTCAAAAACTGAGATCAAACCGTTAACGTCTGGAGTTCCGTTTCTGGCACCGAGTAGTGAATTACTGGAATTCTCTACCGGAACATGTAATATCAGCACCGTCTGTTAATATATTCAAAACGAGGTTGGACCTTAACAGTATTACAAACTGCAAGGATTAATATAGGTCGATAGACCGCCTATCCTTATTACTGAAGACTGAAGGTACGTAACACCTAGTATGTTTACTAATGATGTTTCTGAACCGTTCGAAACCTTCAAGCGTTCGATTCTTAAACGAGAAGACCTAACCGATCGACAAAGGTTAGATCAACTCTTCAATAACACGGTTCTGCGACGGACATGTTGCAAAGGATGAGAGATGTTATGGGCCTAAGAACTTTCGACGAAGGCCTATTCAAACAACTTTTCTCGTCCAAACTTCCCCAACAGGTGCAAGCGGTTCTGGTTTCGTTTCAGAACGACACCTTAGACGAGCTGGCTGCATATGTCTGTCGTATCTTAGAAATAACGGAGTCTTCTACTACCGAGGTTTTTTCAGTCAAAGAAAAGCCTCAAACCACTCAGAATGACATAACCGAGTTATGTCATACACTTACGCGTTATCTTAATTTTCGTAACGATCGTAAGCGATCTCACATCCCACGTAGAAAGGTTTCACGTAAGCGATTTGTCTCTAGACCACGAGAGACGGATAACCCCGACTGGTGCTGGTATCATAACCAGTATGGAAAGTCTTCCAGAAATTGCAGAAAACCCTGCAATTTTCCCAACTCAAAACCGACTGACTCGAAAAACAACTCGGTAAACTTCCAAGCCGGCACGCGTTAACGGCAACCATAGCCGGCGAAGATAGCCATCTGTTATGCGTCACAGATGTGACAAAGAGAGTTCGCTACCTCGTCGACACTGGCGCAGAAGTTAGCGTTCTCCCAGCGAATCTCAATGATCGGCCTCACGAATCGGCTTTAAACTTACAGGCGGCAAACAGAAAACCTATCACTACGTATGGCAAAAGGTACGTTTACCTGAACGTGGGTTTACGCAAACCCATTCA